ATGTTAGACTTAGCAAGCAAGAAATGAAAATTATTAATAATTTGTCATGAGTAAAGTAACTTGTAGTATGCGATAAATTCACGGCATAAAAAAATAATAAGGGTTGACAAAGCATATTTTAAGAAAACACAGGAACCAAGGCCCATTCTTCAATTAAAACTTTAATGGAGATGACTTACTGTTGTGAAGACTTTCATTCCATATGAAAGTGATTATAAATAGATTAGTTGGTTTATTTCACTAGGTCGCTTCGCGTAAACGGACTCAACTTTCGTCCAACATAAAACTGACGTTGTCAGAGCTGTAACTCATTTTTGAAAGAGCTTCAAGTTAACACTAAATCAAGAATGAAAGAGTTCCAGCTCTGATGGTATCCGTCATATGGCAGAAGATAGTCCAGCATGCTTTCACCTGGAAGGAGGGAGGATGTCTTATGGACAGTAAACCAAAACAGCAGCAGAACAGAAATCAGCTGTCATCTTTCACATAGATCAACTAACGAGACCCTTCGTCATGTGCTTTCAACAAAATAAGTCTCCACAACAATATAATCCCAAAAGATTAATCGAAATCCAGCTAAGTTTCGTATTTAGAGAACGGATAAGCCTAGATATTTGTACGATTAATAGTGCCATCCCTTATCAAAAAGTGAATACATATCAATGGCTCCCAAAAATGGCGCAGTTAATTGAATAAGATATACTTTTGAGAATTACGAAGTTCAGAAGCAAAAACTTATTTAGAAGTTATTTGACCTTGTTTTCGCAACGTAGCCATTTTGTTAGGAAGACCTAGAGGAATACACCCTGTTTGGAGTCCATAGTATGCATGATAATTTCCAGTCGGACCGTGGACTTGGTACATTCACAGACGTTTCGCCAGCGTCATCAGTGAGCCTTGCCATTCCTAGCACCACACTACAACTCGTCAAAGAGACAAGTGAAGTCTATCCTTTGACTAATAGTCTGCTAAACAATTGTGGTATGTCTCCTTTCCTGGGGTATTCATCTATCCTATATACTTTTATCACTCCTTCAACAACACAATTTATTATTTGTTTACCTAAGCCTATTTTAAACTTATTCACATTGAAAAGACAACACTTTTCACCACCACTTATTTAACTCAACTTAACCAACTGCAGGAAGTGGTTGTAGCCCCCGAAATGCGGATTCCTAACTCATTCATAAAAAACATATAAAAGTACGCACTACATCTAATGCCTCCTATACATCCGGATTTAGGCGTAGCAACAGCCAAATAGAGAATAAGGGCAATTTATCAATACTTATGAATAATAGAAATTAAAAATTCCTCCCCACTGATAAGAGTGGCATAGCGAAATTGATACTGGCACACCCTTCATTTCTTTTGAGACGACGGGCAGAAGGGATTCGTAAATTGGCCTCACTGGACACCAAAGGAAGGTGGCCTAAGACTTGTGACTGTTAAATTGTGCGAAGAAGACCTAGGCTCATCGTTATGAGACCCCAATGAATCCGTGAAGAGCTTTCATCCGTCATGTGACGGACATTGTCAGATCCAGAAACTATTTCTCGGTTTACTATTTTTGGCTTTTCGTATATAATATTTTCACACACTGATAATGCGGACGAAAGCTCAGCACGGAGTCATCGAGGCCGCAGGACGGTGGGGCTAGGTCTTTTACGATAATTTAACACAAAAAAGTCAAAGGACCCTATTTTGGTATCTTGTGAGACTAATTTATGAATTCCTTACACCCGCCTTCTCAATATAGGTAAAAGACATGCTAGTATCAAGCTACTAAGGGATTCTTTGAAATCCAGATTCTATTCATATGATTAATATAAGTTAAGTATAAAAGATAAGTATGAATAGCCATGCTAATAGGTGGGCCCAGCCAAATAATATAAATCGATATCAGGACTTGTAGTAATATTCTAACGTAGGAACAAATAAGGATACCTCATTTAACTTTTTACTTTTCACCTCATCCCTTCATCTTGTAGCCAAATCGCCAATTTTTTGATGACTCGTTCGAACTCGCACTAGGAGCCAGACCTCATATATGTGGAAATTACTAATTCAAAAATGCTCCAACAAGGTAATCAAAAAGAAAAAGAAAAACTTACTGTAAAATGAAGAAGAATGAAGATGAGGCTGTTGGAGGAGTACAAGATCATTTTCTAGGCAGATAAAATTTGTATACTGATCAAAAACTTTGGATATTTTTTGCACGCAATCATGGGCTAAGGCAGCATGGGCCAGAGATTCAAGATGATCTCTAGATATTGGACTGATGAAATTCAAAAAATATGATTCATAAAGGTTGTTCTGCAAATCCTTGAATTTAGAGGCTTGAACAAAATATGATCATTACTTTACAGATCCGGTCAACATTTTCCTGTGATGGATATACAAAATATACAGCTGGAACATCTGGTATGGTCTCTCTGTGTGAATTCAATAGCCTGGTACTATGAATAAAATCAAATTACAAATGCAAAGTAATCCCATGAGATCTAATCTCTTTGATCGTGAAAAGAGGAGAAATAATATTCTGACCCGCTTTGTCGTATACTAAAATCTAGTGAAAATGCTTTATTACTACACTGACCTTCCACTGTGGTTCATCGATTTGGGGAGATGAGTTCAGATTAAACATGCTTTTAAGGCATTCTAAAAAATTAAATAATGTTTTTTGGAAAGATTTACATGCAAATATGTATCGCTTTAAGTAGAACTAGATAGGTTAGTTCAATGATTACAAATGGGAGGTATAGTGAAATGAATGATTACAATACTAATAAAATCCTAAGCAATTTGAAGCTTTATAATTGTGCAAAGTAATTGAGATAGCATTCCTTAGGAAGTATTTACTTTTACAATATATTTTTTAATGATATACCGGCGAAAAATAAGTAAATATATGAAAAACAAGAGGAAATGCTTGTTTAACAGCGTAGGATAGAAAAAAAGTCGCTTATCAGTTAGTAAAAGTCAAAATAATAAAAAAA